TTTTCTTAAAACTGCGCACATCGGCGTTTCTAGCTATACGGATAGAGATATATTAGCACACAGAAAAACGATAAAGACTCTCAAAGTATGAATAATGTATGTGCATAGATTCTCTCAAATCTGTTTTAAATTCTAGCCTCGGTAACGGAATGATTGAAGTCTGCATTTGGTCACATTACAGACGCATATTAAATAAATAGCATTGCCTTTGTGGCTGCAGAGGTTTGTCAGGTAGCGAATTCTATGAAGATGTGTGATGTGGTCGTGAAGGCAGCCAAGGTGAGACGTTATTTCTCTCCTTGTAATTGAGTGGAAGGTTGACGTGGCAGTCTCTAATGGTGGGACACCAAGTGTACTTACTACAACTGGAGGAATAAACTGGTAGAGGAACTGCGTTTTCTATACCGGTTACAATACCAGAACAGTTTCGACATCTCACTTGGGAATGCGTTGAATATGACAGTAGTAGTCCATATTGTGTCACTAGTCTGAATTAAATTAAATACTTTCACGTTTCCAGAGAGATCTCTTCTTTGGAGCGAAATCATCTTATCTTCCGAAACGGCGTGTATTGTCCAACATTTATGAATAATGGTAAACAGTACGCTCAGAACAAGAAGTCCTCTGAGTATTAATTGTTTTGTAGACAAAATTATATTCACTGGGGATAGCGCCACATTTCGATTTGATATTTGTGTATTCCATTCTTCAACATTCATTTTATAGTCCCCTCTCGTTTACCATCCCCCTCACTTTCGTCTCCCTGAGACATTGTCACGCTAAAAGTACTTTGGCTTTAGGCAAAGTCCACCGGATAGCAACAAAGGTTGTGTTACCTCGTTAAAATATATGGGACCTTTGTGTGGCGACAAATTCAGCCTACAAAGGGAAATTGTGGGTATGGCGCGGGGAAATATCCTGGGAATGCCGGTGCTGAAGGCTGAAGTGGGACGGATCCAGTGACATAAGTAGTTAAGACAGTTGGTACGACTTTCGTGGACAGAAGAGTAGTGTACGCCGTCTTGGCTCCAAACGTCAGTTTGAGAACCTTGCTGTCTGTCTCTGTCACTACAGTCTGTGTCACAACGGGAGTCGAAGTGAGTGCAAACTGGTGTTGCTGTTGGGGGAAGATGGGATTTAGCTGATTCACGGGAGGCACCGGCAATGCTGGCAATGTGCTTGTTCCGTACTCATATTCTGTTTTGCTGACGGTAGCCACTGGTCGGGAAATTGTGCTGTAACTAGTAGATGCTCCGTTTATAACTGGTAGAACATGCGATTCATATACAGTTTCAATTTTTAGCACCGGTCTGGATGTGGTAATAACTTGTGGAATAGCTGCAGCTGCAGCGGGATTTAAGAGTCGTAACAGAGCTAGCTGTTGAAGTTGTTCATGGCTCAAAGCAGGCGTTTGCTGGGAATCTGGTGAGCTGGTCTGTTTCGGAGGCGTGGATTGAGCTTTCTTAAGTCTGATATGACCTTCGGGGATACGGGTCTTGTCTACATCGGACAGATCAAAATCAGAACCAATATTTGCCAAATCAATGTCAGGTTGTAACGCCCTGAGAGCCGCCGGTTTGTCACCATCGTCGTTGTCATCACCAAACTCTAGCTCCAGGTGCAGTTCAGAGCCAGCCTCTTCCAGGTGCGTGTTGAATTCGTTGAGGGTCTTGCTGGGCACAAAGTGGTAAACCTCCATGGGCGGCAGTGTTTTCGTGGCTGTGACGAGGCGCGTCACGTGGTACGACTGCACCAGAGTGTACCTGGTTGTGTTACTGCCCCCACGAATCACAGGAAGAATGTGGGTCTTGAGTAGAAGCTGTGTTGTGCTGAAAGTCTCTGTCAGAGTCTCCAATGGTGGCGTTTCGGCGTCTCCTGCCAGCCCAATGGGAGGGAGCGTGGCGATGCTAGAGTCCAGAGGCAGGTTGTTTTCCTTGTCGTAACCGGGCGCTATTGTGCTGGCCAGAATGTTCTCGGTAAGTGGTTCGGTGGCGCTTGAGCTGATAATAGCGGGGCTATCTGTGTTCTCCAGGCTCTTTTCAATTGTTGACGTGACTGTGATGAACCGAGTGTTCTTTATTGTACCAACCTGAAATAGACAGACATCCATGTATATTGCAACTACAGTCACATTTTGAGTGTGGATGGACATTAATTTCGGTCCTCTGAACTTATTAAGGAATTCCTTGCCAGTTATGGAACCCAAAGGTTACTACCGTGCTCCCCATTCTGAGCCAAATAAGTCCCGCCCTATTTCTTTAAGATATATGTTCCCATCTGTGTCTAGATTTTGCAAGTTTTTCTTTCCTTATGGCTTTCCGACCAAAGCTTTATATACATTTCTCGTACCTCCCATGTGCGCTACATGTTCTGCCCATCTCATCCTTCTTGGTTTGATCATCCTAATAATTATATCAGGTGAAGAACATATATTATCGTGATCCTCATACATTATTATGTAGTCTTTCGTTACTTCCGCTTTCTGAGACCCAAATAATCTCCTCAGCATCCTGTTCTTATCTGCCCTCACATAAAAACAAAACACGAGGCACCGTGAAAATATGTTTTAATCTTTACCTTTTTAGATACACTGGAGAGAAAGACATAGAACAGGTGGCTAACAACGTTTACCCGAATGTAATCTGTTCTTATTTTTTTCGTAAATAGAGTTTTAAATTGTTATTGTAATTTCCAAATGTTTGAATTTCGTTTTATTTCCGAGTGATTAATTAGCTATGCGTATGTTGCATATATTATTTAACTTCGAATAAATAAGCCTATGTGTTCGTAAGTCGTACTAATTCCTATAAATGTCCGCTATCGAACAGGTCGCTGATAGCAGCACTCCAGGTTTAGAATTTTGTTTATGGGGATTATATAGCACGGCGGAGTCTCACACCACATTCTCGCCGTCTTCGCTGAGATCTTTGTTTTTTAATTACAGTTCAATAGCGGTACGTTGCCTTCAAATAGGTCGCGAAAGCTTTCCTTTGGAACTTTACCTGCTCGCCATTCGTAACAGCCTTACTGAATTTCCTAGCATGGGATATGGGTCGTAGATATTATGTAACTTGGTCGCAAATGTGTGAGGCTACTGTTTTGAATGGTGCATATATGTGGAGGAGGCTATAGAAGAGAATATCTCGTTCGTTAAGCAAATTATACAGTGTGTTAATTTCTTACAATGTTCTCATTCTGTAATGTTAAAATTACAGCACGCCCATTGCAGTAATCTATGATCTCACCATGCCATTTCAACTATCAGAGTGAGATATTTAAAATTTCAAAGTTCAGCCTTTAAGTGGGTCATGAATGCGAAATGTGTAGTTAAAATTACAGCTTAATAATTGAAACTGCACCTGGAAAGTGTACGGAGATTTTATTGTTGCAATTTCGTAGTATGTGTCTTTGAAGTCGGCCGGGGTGGATATTTCAACCTTGATTGTCTCTGCCACTGGAACATCCTCCTCAAGGTCATCGTTATTTACCGAGGTCACTCCTACGTCAGACCCTGTAGGCTCCTGGTCAGGGTCATCTGACCTGGCTCTAAGTTCAGAATCTGCCGGGTTGTACTGAGGTTGAGGTTGTTGGGTTGTCGTAATGGTCGTGTTGTCGTACGGCATAGCTTCATCCTCGTTTTGCTTTCTGATGCTTATTCGCGGTTTGGGCGTTGTCTTGTATTGCCACCTGCCTGGTGGCCGTGCTAACTTGAACTTGTAGAGGCTGGTACTGCCAGAGGCGCTGTCTGCAGAAGAAGACTGGACTCGAGGCTTGTACCCCCTGCGGGTATAGCCGTTACCTTCATTATTGACTGTATTGCTGCTAGATCGGTAGCCGCTTCTCCGCTGTGAGGACTGTTGCTGATATCGTCGTCCTCCGGAAGGTGTCGCAGACGGAGGGTCACTGAACACTGACACGGTGGCCAATTCGGGCGTACTGGACACACGGGCAAACCGGTTGTTGCTGAACCTGACGGAAGACAAGCTGTCACAAGTTATGCTTCGAGAAAGTGATAACTAAAGAAATAACTGATGATCCCGTCGACTATAACAACAGTGACTGGCTTTCTGATTAACTTGTTAACTAATCGAATAACAGGCTGACTACCTACCTGACTGGTCGACTGATTGAAAAATTGAATAATTCACTCCGTGAGCCAGTTCTGTTCTGTTTGTGTATTTACATTCTATTTCTGAAAATTTTATTTCGTTATTTTTGTTATTGACTTCCGATATGAGTCTCGGCTTACAAAGGACAGTCCGCAAAGAAATTTCCTCGCCTGTGCACTAAACAGTTTTCCAAACTTTCCGAGTTCTATCATTGTATTGACTTTACAACACGAAACAATAATAATGAATTATTTTAAATCGATAAGCCAATCGTTGTTGTTTCAAAAATATTCTTGTTTAATTAAAATGATTTATCTTTAAAGTCAATAAAGCAATAAGCAGGGCAAACTTAAAAATATTTTTTTAAAATGTCAAAGGAACAAATTATATACTAGGTATATTTTCTTTTCACTAAGTCTTCGAGATGAATCTAAACACAAGCCGAACTTTTAGCGACAAAATACTTGCTTCCTTTTAGGCCACGATCTGTGGAAGGTAGGACAAGTGTAGTTCGCGCGATGTCTCATATCCCGCGGCAGAACAGCAAGCAGCCAGAAAATCAGGAAATGTGCCCAATACAGAACGATTACAGTGCTGTAGTTTAAATGTTTTTGTGTCAGCAGTACAGTAATTTATGGTTAGTTAAGCCTGTTACAAGTGGCCTTAAGAATTTTGAAAATTCTACCCTAGACCAGACGGTTTACTATAAACTAGTTTTTGTAATTATCCCAACAAATGTCTTTCCTCGTGTTTATAGAAACAAAACAGACATCGTGATCGTGATATAATGCATAGGAACAGAGTAGCACATGTGTGAATAAAATAAAATTCTTACGTATTTTTGGAGGCAGATTTGAATGGCGATCTGACGGATTGGGTGGGCTTCACGGCCGCAGCTCTAGAAGGCGCCTTTCTGCTGCTAGTTGGCGCAACAGTTAGATCGTCTTCTTCCTCCTCGTACTCTTCTCCCAGATCTTGCTCGCGATTGTCCTGATGTTCTCGGCCTCGTACTCGGTTGAATTTACTGTGAAAATTACTCTTCGGCGCCGTTAGACCGCCGTGTCTTCGAGAAGACCGTATGAAGTTCGAGCTAGGCGCTGAGCTGAATAGGGCTTCTAGAGGCAATGCGACGGTCTCTTCATACAGGGATCCGGCAGGAGTGGGCTCCAGATGTGCAGAACTTCTGGATTTGCCAAGGGCGGGAGCGGCCGTTTTCAGTATCCTCAGCGAGGATGATGGAGTTGGTTTTACTTTCCCGTGTTGTGGCTGGATTATGTGGGAAGTGCTCTGGAGAACCTGGGCGTACTTCCCCGAGACGTAGGTTCCGATAACGCTTGTCTCGTGCACTGTGGTGACGCCCTCCTTCACCACGGTTCCTCCGAGTGTGGTTACAAGTCCTGTGGGGTGCAGCTGTTCCCCAGCCCCGCGTGTCGCCTTGTTATTGTGATCATCACGACTGGTGATCACATTCACTTTACTTCGAATGTCGGACTGGCGGGGTTTTAGGTGAAATTTGGAGCTCGGTCTCAGGTTTATGACCTGCAGAGGACATTTTAATTAATTAATTAATAGAGTTGTCTTAGCTCAGTATCAGTCGTTACATTCAGAGGTCGAAAGAGGAGTGAAGCTGTTAGAAATACATTAAAAAGTAACAATAATATTACAGATATAGTTTCCAGCTACAGAAATTAAAAGTGTTTATGAGATAGAAAATTGTATCCCAGAGGGAATTTTTAATTATGGTCCACGAGAAAAATGGACGTCGGAAGACCTATGAAAATGGAGAATTGCCTAAAGGAGAGTTTATTTTGAACGGAACAAATCTTTGAACATGATCCTCTGAGATTTTTTTTAATTAAATAACTTCTTTTAAGCTTACTACAACAGTACAATGACAACCAGAAACCCAGATATTGGAATCGTGCCAGTTCTCGAAATGTCATATGCATGTATAATAATACCTCAGACAATGGATAAAGTCCAAAGTAACTACAGGGCTCTTTCAGATATTGTCACAGGCCATTATACTACGAAGATGGCTATCTTCTGGGTTGTTGCGCCGTGTACTCTGGTAAACTTCTACTAGACTACACGGCACATCAACCCAGAAGACAGCAATCTTCAGACTCACAGCCGTGAAAACCTCAAATCCTGCAATTACAATACGTACATCCAAACGCAGTTCTAATTACAGAATGTATTTTACTTAATAATTTAAAATTTTAATAGTTTGAGGTTAACGAGAGAATTTTGAAAAGCAAGAAACAGAGTAGATTGTACCCTAGAAAGTTAAGCATTGCTGTAGGGAACTTTACAACTCACGGATATATTTTTATACATGACGTAATGTTGAAAAATGAAACAGCTGATTGCGAGTATTCGTGTCAGCTGATGACAGAGCCAGTAGCATGGTAATTACGTCTAGGGTGTTGCTGCATCCGGAGGCACTAGTGTGTGTCCTGGTGCAGCTAAGATTCGCACAGCCTTCAAGAACTTTCTTATTCCCTCTGTTGGCTACAACCTTTTCACCAAGTTACACTCGTCTTTCAGGCTGTAACTCAGTGGTACATGTTCATCTCTCTGCAGTGAATATTTATTCAGCAGATAAAGAAATTCCGTGCGTTTGAGGAACCTGAATGTTGAATTTATAAAACACACATTGTTCGGCGAAGAAATGTGCACTACTTCTGCTTTGTATCCGGGAAACAGTGGCTACGAATCTCGGTTCGGGAGAAGATAAACTACGTCATTAGATGCAACATGTATCTATAACTCTGGGAAGCAGAGTCCATCTTGAGAAGCTAACAGTTGTTTATCTACTCGTTTGACCCCTAACCAATAGTCCCTGTCCCGAGATAGATTAATCTAGTCAACAAGCTCGGGGTTTGTTTATTTAAGATCCATTTTAATATTTTCATACCATTTAGGAGTAGGTCTTCTAAATAGTCTCTTCCTATGAGTCCTTCCGATGAAAGTCGTGTAAGCATTTCCCACCCCTATCATGCGTACTACATGTCCGTTCTTCTCACTTTCCTTAATTTTATAACTTTTGCAATATTCAATTGTTCTTCATAATTATTAGTGTCTAAAATATGAAAAAGACAAAAATAGTTAAAGACCATGTTGGAATGGCCACGCCTGTCTCCTTCCAAATCGTTGGATATTTACCGTTTATCGTCACCCCTTTCTGTCGTATTCGACACCACCGGAAAGGTGTCCGTAAATAACCGAATAATCAGTAACGATCTTGAATTATCTGAACATGCGTCAACTACCTTGTATGTCTCATCCACGACCTCGGACGGTTGTCTGGACAGGAAGTCGTACTCCGGTTCCAGGACATTGTTTCCGGACAAGGCCGGTTCCTCACTGCTAGACCTCACTTCGACAACGCTCGATAAAATGGTGGGTACTTCATTGTGATGATTCTGGTGATTCTGCTCCACGGTTACCGACGGAGAGACCTCTCCTCCGACAACCTGCACGTGACTCAACAGGATCTTAGATGGGCCCGCCTTCACTTCCACCACGCTGCTTGGTCCTTCGTGCACCTCAACCTTTGTCGACGGTTCTTTCTTCACCTTCGTTACCGTAGACGTCCCTTCTCGAACTTCTACTTTACTAGAGAGGCCATTCGGACTTCCTCCACGAATTTCAACTATGCTTGAAGCGCCTCCCTTTATTTCAACAACGCTGGATGACCCTTGTTTCAAATTCACCGCGCTGGATGGACTCCCACCTCCACGAACCTCAACTACGCTGGAAATTATGGTGGCGGGGGCCCCAGACTTTACCTCCACACCGGATGTTAACTTCTTGTTGGTCGGAGCGTTTCCTATCGGAACGGTAGAGCCTTTCTTCTCCGAGACTTTCGCAGTTGTTTTGCTTGGTTTTATCTCCAGTAATGATGTTGCTGCAGGCGAAGACTGCGTTGCAGGTTTCGTTTCTATGACTGAAGTAGTGGTAGCGGCAGTTTTCTTACCCCCATCTGCATACAAATAAGCAGCCATATAATTTATGTTATGTGATATTATACAATATGATAGATTCGTATGATATTATACAGTGTTCACATGACACCTAGCCTTATATTTCTTGAAGATTTCTGTCTTCTGGGTTGTTGCACCTTGCAGTATGGTAGGCGTTTACCAACATTTCAGAGGTCATACTGCCTCCGTCATCAGGGCGATGAATGAACCATTTGAGTGGAGAGGGCTCATTCATCGCCCTGATGACGGAGGCAGTATGACCTCTGAAACGTTGGTAAACATCGACCAGACTACACAGCGCAACAACCCAGAAGACAGGAATCTTCATATTCACCGTTGTGAAAACCTCAAATCTTTATGTTTATTTCAAAAAGTACAGTTAATCCAATGAGTAAGCACCACGAGCCGGAGGTGGATGTTTATAAGGGTATGAAGGTAACGTTGTACTTATTGCTGGGATGTAATTGCACTCAGACGAGTGTTCATGACTTCGGCTTTTCATTTCGAAAACTGTATATTGATTTAAAACAGATCTGTCCAACATTTCTGAATGTTCTCCTTCTGAATAGGCCCTAGTAATTTAACATATTTTGGTTCCTTGTCACAGTGTACAAGTACGTTTAGAAAATTTCTCGTTGTTTGCCTTAAGTTCTTTGTCCTCTTAGACGAACCCATTTGCGTGACCTACAGTCTTCCTTTATTCCTTATAAGTACGAAGAATGCGTCTCATATGATATTATTGAGAGACGACTATCAGAGAACTGAGAGTTGACCGACGTTTCCCGGTCTCTCATGAGCTTGGGTATTGTCAGGGTGATTTGATAAATGTGGTTGAAGCCTGCCGAAAAGGTGGCACACCATTAATTTCTGTACCTGCTAATAAACTTTGGGGAGAGAAGACCATCACGGTGTTGCCGATGGTAGTAGTAAAGTCGAGGAAACCGTAGACAGTTTGTGTGAGAAGCTCCACCGCTTCATTCTGTTGAATCGCTACGGATTTCGCAGTCGCCGCATCTGGATTCACGTACACCGGCCCCCCTGAGGGCGTGTACACGGCTCCATTACATCTGCACCACACTGCAAATCACATACACTGACTATTAAGCAGGAATATCAGTTTTTGATTTCCTAGAACAAATATAAGGGAACAACAGTTATTGAAGTCGCCGTAGAGACAGCGATGAATAGGAGAAAGTGAAATGGGCATAAAAACAGAAGTAGAACAAATTCTTCCTATGTCTTGTATATCAAACACCCCAGATACATTAATTGATTACAGTACTCGTATTTAATCTTGTCAGGATTTTGTTGATGTTGAAATTGGTTCTGGGTAGTGTCACCGTGTGGAAGTTGGCTTGTTGCCAAAGTTTCAGAGGAACATTCTGCTTCTACCATCAGGGCTGAAGTGAGGAAGATCGGAGAGTAGTTAGTTTCTGTCGGGATCAGGTCATAGAAATTAGTCAGCCAACTAAAAAGGGTGAAATACTGTGTATCTACAATTACATTTAGGAACTAGTTTACGGTGAGTAGATAACTTTGCCCGAGGTGACTATTGAAAAGGAGGAGGGGTAGGCTCCAGATCCGGTCTTAAGACCTGAGTAACTCGCTTTTGTTTTATCGAGACCTGTTTAATTTGTCGTATTATCGTATAATAAAGTCAAGGATAGTTGAGAGCTGGCTATCCAACTCTTGGAGAGATGGACGCACTTTCAGTGGCAGTACCATGCTTCCCCACTATCGATGTTTTCGTTATTTCTTATCCAAATATGATCGGAAGCCTTTCAACAACAAATTACGACCTTGTGCTTGTAACACACTGATGGCTGAACACACACTCACCCCGGGTTGTAAGAGCAGCAGTTGAAGGGTTTGGTGCAAAATGGATGCACCTGAAACGGGTCGGAAATTTATTTTATGCCGTCTTTACACAAAAGGCGTAACATGAACGCATTGTCGAGGGGGTACGTCTGTTTACTTAAATAATCACATATTTAATCTCGTGAACTTCTCAACGAAATTTATCTTTCTCATTACGCTGAAAACTGTCACGTGAGTTTAATTTTCTCCTGTGTTTGTCCAGTATCAGACCTGTTTTAAGAATTTTAAGTACTAACGTATAGATATCTATGATTTTACTGTCCTATAGAATCTAACTCTGTCATTACGCCGAAAACTCTCATAAGAATTAATTTTCGGCTGTATTAGTCTAGTATAAGAACTATTTGAAGAATTTTAAAGACTAAAATACATAGAACTATAATCTTACTCTCCTATAGAATGTTAAAGTGGTTTTTTTGCATTAAGGGAAGGATATAGATGTGGGTGCTTGAGCACAGGGTGCTGAGGAGAATATTTGGACATAAAAGTGAGGAAGTAGCAGTAGGCTAGACAATTTTGTGGTAATTCAATCAAGGGAGATGAGCAGAGACTATATGTACTTCTAATGGTAGAAATGAGAAATGAATATACAATTTTTAATCGAAGTATTTGAAGAGAAGTGACAACTTTGAAGACCTACTCGTGGATATAAATTAATATTAAAATTGTATCTTATAGAAATGAAGATTGAGGATTTTCAGTGGATTAATGTGGTTCAGATTATGATACGATGCGGAAACATTAATTACCATATACCTTGTTTCATAACATAGACTTGAGGATACGATGTGGAAACATTAATTGCCCTATACCTTGTTTCATAACATAGACTTGATCTCCTGAAAATTAGCTTCAGAACTAATGCCTCATGGAAAATTGCAACACGTATATTTTCTTAAATTTTATCTACTCGAAAAATAAGAATATTTCTTCACTCTTGCTTCCCACGAGTATAGTAACATGGAGCTACACTACTTTTATGTGCCATACTCTTCAATTTCTTACAAACGTTGCACTCTGTCTGTGAGAAACAAAAGATATCATCACGTCTAAAAAGAAAATAAACACAAAAATTAGAGTTTAAATAAGTACCTGTACCAGAACTGAACACGAAGGAGTCAGTGAACGGTCCATCTACGTCCTCGCCCTCTCACGTTCGTGCCCTGACCCTCCTTGAACTCAAAACGTGGCGTCACACTACCTCTGAGTTTTTGTTGTCACATAAGTTCTTTGTATTATTAAAAATTACTTATATATATACACGAACCATTCTTATGCTCGATCATAGTGGCTTGTGAATGTTATTTTGTTAGCCAAAGGCGTGGAGTGTCTCCCCATCAAGAGCACCTGTGCCATAGCTGCAGACGGAAGAGAACGTACTTTAATTAATCCTCTTATTTTTAATTACAGCATTCATATTTAGTGTTAATCGTTCTGCACATGAATAACTAACTCTGAACTGTAATCAATCCGCCCTGCTCTTAAAACGTTGTGTTCTCTCGTGGTACTTAAGAACCTTATAGAAACAGCGGGTCTCACCCTCAAACAGGAATTTCAATTATACAGTAGCCTCTTCCAGTCTTTTCGTCGTGTGACGCGAAGTAAACTTACCTAAACGGCACAAAGGCGTCTCATTCGACTTCGCATCTAACATTTGAAACCACATCTGTTTGGTTACGTATTGTAAGAATGAATTGTCGCCTAAAAGTTGTAGTCGGGAGATACCCGGTTCGACCTCAAGCTATATTACCGGCTATCCTAGCTCACGGTTTTCGTAGTGTTACTTAGTTTTTCCAGGGGAACGCGCTATGCTCGTGGCTTAAAAGTGACTTCTTGTTTCATCCGATCTTCCATTAGGACGTTTCTTGGTTTCTGAGATAAGAAATGGGCAGTTTCTTTCACATCGCTATAGGATGTGTTGCTTTTTTTTTTTGGCATTATGAAATTACTCAGCATTTCGCTTGGACCAAGCTTGTTTAATCATGTCGATTGTTTGGACATAAAGGCTGCGAGGATATTGAAAGCCAGACACTACAAGGCGAAATTGGACGCAAGCGCATCACCTTTTCCAGAACGTCCGAAGTTTGAATGAATCAACAATTTCCTGATTATTCCTCTGCGTTATTATTCTGGGCATTCACAGAGCAATTTTAAACCCCGTACGTGAGAAGTTTCATCATGAATGTCATTGATACACAGGACAAATTGTAGAACGTAACATTCAGAAACTCACAGAATTCTCATTTGTTAGACTGCAGTGGCGCAGAATATACAATATAGTTCAGAACTGTTGAAATTATTCGGTTTTGTCTTCGCCGATATTGCAAACTGCAATGGAATGAATACAAATGAAAGGATATTTTCAGGGTTATGTTGATATAATAAGTTATTATATTAACATTTGTATGCCGTAAGTAATATTGAGA